CCATCCGGCTTCCGTATTTGTTGTTTTTTCAGCCAAGCATTAAAGATGAGTCTATTAAGGTTAACTGTAAGTTAATTAATATATTATCTCCCCAACATACTTATCCGATTATTTAATTTAGTTTTAGTATATATATTTATTTTTTGATATAAGAAAAAATAACAATTATGTTTATTCTTGTTCGCCATGTAATACTCAATTATTACTTTATTCTAAAATTTGTCGTTATATAATGTCATCGTTATTACTTATATAAGTTATAGAAGTAGTATTCTTCTTTCTATTTTATGTAACGAAAATATTTAATGCATGTTAGTATTGTTTATTAATATAATTAATTTAAAATTATATAAATAAATTTAAATAGAATATTGTGTATAAATATTTTATAATATACAAACATGTGATTCTATACAATTTTTGGTATTTATCTTATCAAACAAACTAATGTCATATATCTAACACGTCATCAATCATTAATAATTTGTTNGAAAACAATTCGGTCACACTGAAAATATATAGTAACACATTATAGGTTTATTTGTGTTAATTAACCAATTAATCCAATAGTAATCCAAAAGTTTTTTGCCATTATGCATTATAATTTTTTTAATAATAATTAAACCACTTGGATTTAACAATCACCAAAACACAAATTTTTTCTATAATTAAGAGATTTTTCTATTTTGCATAGTAAGACTTTATGGTTTATTTAGCATATTATGCAGTGAAAATATATATTACAATAATTTCATTGTCGAAAGAAATTAAAATAAAAAAGTGATAAAAAAACATGGTTAACAATAATATACAAATAAATCACATGTTAAAGTTCTAAACAAGAATTAATATATTTTAATTTTATTATCTAGCAATTAGTAAAGCTATTTAAAGTATTTGGTCATTTTCTCTAAATAGTAAATTATATTAATTCAAAGAACTATTTATCTTTTCTATATAATTAAATATATCTTAAAAATTGAATTAGCAAAGATTGATTCACCAACTTGATTTCGCGCAACTGATTAATTGAAAAAATAAAATTATTTAACATGTTACAATTTTATATAAATATTTTAGAATGAAAAGTAAACATTTGTGACAAGAAATTTAATAATATGGTTAAAACTCAAAATCTATTTTCATATTTATCTTCACTAAAATATTATCAACGTGAATCACAGAAAATTAATTAGTAGTTTATTATAATTGATGTTAATGAAATTATTGCATATGTTAATAAAATTATTCGAAAAAATATTTTTTATCATGTCCAATATGATATGATTTGAAATCCTACGTGTACATACAAGCAGTTAATTCACATATTTTAAAAGTTTTCAAAGAATGCATACATTAAATGTTTTTAAATTATTTTGCTACTATTTTTAGTAAATTTTATATATATTCTAGTACGTTGCTCGTACGATGCACAAGAAAATAATATACCGTTGTATTGTAAACTCAATATATAAATAACATTAATCACCATTTCCTCATGATAATATTATTGCTTTAATTATTTGAACTGAATTATATTTATTGAAACAAAGTATTCTTAATATTGAAATCCATATTTTTAGTTTCAATAATCGATTTGATCTGATCTGACTCGTAACTAAGTCACCCGAGATGGAACAAAAGTTATGTCATATATATAATTAGTTAATTTATACAAATGTTCTGAAATTGATCTAAGAAAAATGTGCAATAACCAAATACATGCAATCAACCAATTGATTCAGATAAATTTCTTTTTTCTTTTTTTCTTAAATACAACTAATTGTATGAAATATAAAATAATTTGTGATTCACATGGTATGTTTATAACAAATGACAACATATTTGACTCCAAATTATAGTATTAAGGATAAATTAATTGTATCTTACTTTATACAAATTTTTAATTAAAATAATAAATGTAGAAAAATTTTAAATGAAATTTTAATTAATTGATTATATAATTGACATGATGACTCGATGACTCAATACGAACATGAGTCTGAACCGATCACAAATATTATGCATATTTATTAATATTTTTGTACTATGTTATGCATCCTCCTTATATATAATTTTCGAATGTGCTGAGCTTAAGTGGCAAACTCGCATGCTTCGGGATCTTATGTGTCAAAATTTCATGTTTCATTATTTGACTTGGATATATTTTAATTTACTTTCAATCTAAAAATAATTAGGTTTGATATAAATTAAGAAAATAAAATTATTTATCAATTAATATATGTATGTTTAAAGTGGTTATATGGCATAAGCTTGAAAAATTATTACAATATAACACATGCAATTCGCGCATGTAACAAATGTCATTCTAAAATATAATATAATATATTTTTTTATAAAAAGTATTTAAATTTTAAAAACACTTTTTTATCATTGATTTTAAAATTTAAGAATATTTTTTTTTTTAACAAGCCTTCGTGTTACACACGGATACTGTACTAGTAAGTTATTAAATATGATGAACGGATGATGTTATAACGAATAAGGCGCATTAAAGATAAATTATATTCTCATTTTATATATTCAAACAAATTCAATTAATATATATATATATATATATATTGGTTACGATTATTAATAAGTAACAATATTTTGTAATTTAATTTTAGTAATCTTTAATAATATTATAATCACAAAAAAAAAATCATTTTAAAATATTGATATCACATCATTGAAAAATAAAAATAAATTAGGTAGAAATGAACAAAAATTGAAAGTTTTTTTGGAAAATTATTTAATAGATTTAAATTAATTATTGGTATTATATTATCTAAAATAAAAATAAAAATATCAACATGGTAGTAAAGAGAAAACTACTAAAAGAAAATAAAAAATAATAAATAAAAAAAACCCTCTTATTAATAACCAATATTATTATGTTTTCTATTTTTGTGGGAAAACGTTATGATCTTAAGCAGTATTCGTATACAAATATATCTGCTCAAAATGAGTTTTTTTAATCAACCAAAATTAATTATGAAAAAATTGTATGATTAGTTGTTAGTGAGATTTTGATTTTATAATAAAATTATATGTAAAGTAAAATAATTAAAGTTGATTTGATGTAAAAGTAGGAGAGAGATGATGTGCAGTGATAGTTAGTTAAAATTATGTGAATGGATGAATAGTAAATTAAAGATGTTATGTGTAAGAATGATTGGTTGATATTATTTGATTATATTGATAATATTTAAGGTAGTAGAGTTGAGTTAGATTTTGAGTATCAGTTGAGTATAGATATAATTTTTGTTTATACAAATGCATCCTAAACGACAAACATTTTTTTTTAAAAAAAAAATGATATATAGCCAACCTAGTGTACAACTGGGTTGACAACACTAGATGATATATCCACTTGTGTATTTTTGTATTTTTATTTTTGTGGATGATTTTCACTTATGTTGTCAACCTAGTTGTACAGTAGGATGGCAATATAGCATTTCTCTCTTTTTTTATACAGGATATGAGGAATGTTATTTAACCCACTTGGATGACAACATGAGTTACAATCCAAGTGTAAATACATTATCAAAATTTAAAAATATTGCATTTACACTTGAGTTGTAACATGTTGTCATCCAAGTGGTCTCCATAACATTACATATAGATTATGCATTGATTTCAGCATGACGTTCGCATTTGCTCATCACTTTTGTATTCTATCATTTTATTTTATATATGGTGTCAATATAGAAATATTAGAATAATTGAAGTATGAGAATCGAAAGACACCCACTCAAGTTTATATAATATTTTGAAAACCCTTCGTTCAATTCATGCACAAAATTCAAGGCTAAAGTTTAACATACAAAATGCACAACGTATATTCCAATTGTATACGAATAATCTCACTGATTATAGACAACCTCACATAATTAATTAAACCAAATCAGACACTAATCTTGCATGCATGCGTGTGTCCATCATCCTGTCAAAAGAAATTGAAAATGAACAAAATAATTGGTAAGACGTTATTTTCACGAACTTGGAATGAACAAACACATTAATCAGTCAATCAAAATAAACCCCCACTAACCCCTTTTATTTTATATTTTATTTTAATACCCTTAGATGCATAATTCTATATGTGGATTGACAAACACCACAAATATAATGAATAAAGTAGTATGCTTTGTTACGGGTGAGTTTTCTTGTCAAACGTAGTAGGCGACTATTAAGCTCTTTATAAATGACTAGAACAATCCCACCTTCTATTAACGAAGTGTAATTTTCACAAATTTCATTATTTATAATCATTTCTTGAAAAGACTCATGTTTTAGAGCTGCAAGGCACCACAATTAATTTACTTTAAATCATTATCATTTGGACCTTTTAGTTGTGGTGTCCCATAAATATTGTAGGTTTAAAACCTCGTGCTTGATTATAATAACTCGGCCAAAGTATGACCACAAAAATTTGAACATTTTCATATAAACAAGCTGGATTCGAACTTCTAATACTTGAGTTCGGATTTGAGCTTTTATCGAGTAAAATTCAACTAAACGAGTTAGTGAATGAACTGGAGCTCGATTCACTTATTAATATATTAACGAACCGAGCTAAGATAAGTTTTTAAAAAATTGCATAAAAAACTTCAATTCTCAAAGTGAGTCGAGCACTAGACTTATCGACTTGAGTTGAGCTAAGCTTACAACGGGTCTCGTATCGTTTAGCGCGGCTCTAGTTACTTTAATTTGCATCTAAATTGGTCAACCTACTTTTCTTTTTTAACAAGACCACGTGTGCGCCTTATTCTATATTTAAAGGCAAAATTTGCAATCTATAGAATAAATCAACGTTCAAAGCATAGGTTCCAAATGTACATCAATTTTATGTTTTAGGCCTAGCAATGGACATCGACTAAAAAACTACCAAGTTAGGTAGCATAAAAATATACAAAATGCACAATTAGTAATGTCTCAAACCACAAAAAGTATGTTAAGTGAACAAATGTCTAATGGTGCAATTTATAACACAAATGAGAGAATTCTATAATCTAATAAATTTGGAAAAATCGTTAGTCGAGTTGGTTCATCAAAACGAGGGTGAGAATGTGCAGAGTAGTAGCCTGAAAAATCCGTCAGCTCAAGAATTGCAATACCAAGAATTTAAGAAGGAATAATGTAATTACTAATTAGAGTTGTTAACGAATTGAAAATTCGCGAACAAAAACTTGTTTGTATTTGACAAGAGCTCGTTCGTTACATCTAACTTCCTTTTATGGATGCAATGCATCTAATGAAAATCAATCCATAACTTCTAAATCTTTGCGTTATATTAACACGAAAAAATCAGGGTATTTAGTCACAATATGTCACATAAATTTAAAGCAATTTTCCTTTCCCAACAAATGCAGTAACTTCTTATCTTGCGTCGAAAAATTGAGACATAACTTGAAACTGCAATCACATTTATATGTAATTCATAACTTTAATTTAATCGTGACCGTGGAATATCTGCCTAGACAGCTAGACTGCCTATATAATCCATAACTTTAACTTAATTTAATATAAGCGATACTTTTACCCTTATTTTCCAAGAATTGAAGAACTTTTGACCGAGGTATATCATAATAAATCAAGTTTAACAGTACTTTTGGACAAATTAATCCACAGGGCGAAATTTATTATGGTAAATTGAGTTTACTGCGATGAGAATTTCAAAACCATCCAAACACTCCCTATAGGTTATGGGCCTATGGTTAGTAAAATTGGATTCCACGTCAAATTCAAAAACAGTATATTCAAACAGAATGCAGATGAGAATTTCTTGGAACATTTCAATCTTATAGCTTTCGTAAAAAATTTACAACAACAATCCAATGAAAAATATTTCGTATGAATTTTTGTTAGGATTTAGATTATTCAACAATATTATTTTTCCAATGATTGAAATAATTAGTGTGAAAAAAACATTCTAATAGAAATTGAATATTCAAACTAAATTCCTATAAAATTAAATCGTTGAAAAACACTGTTGGAACAATCAAATTCGTTAAGGAAAAAATAGTTTTAACTAAATATTTGATTTTATCTATCGAAATTTTCTAACGAATGTGGCAACATTGTAATTTTTAATATAGGACATAGGTTGAAATTTATTTGGAAATATATTTTTTCATTGAATTTTGGTTGGAATTTGATAGTTGTNAAGATAAATATATGAACACATGTATAATCTGATTTGATTTGAGTGTTTAAAAAAATGCTCAATTGTGACATAATGATGTGCATGGAATATTAGTGACAGAATGAAAAGGACAAAAATAGCTTTGTCTGTTTTCTACTTTTCTATGAACGACATTCAAGTCCCCTTTCATGTATGTGATCTTTTTTACTAGTAATTATATTAATATCAAACGAATGAATGATAAAAGAAACAAAATTGACCGGGTGAAAAGATCAACATCATACACAACTAAGTTGAAACCAACTCAAATAATTACCACTTTATTGCGGTCAATTTTGAATTCTATAATAATAACACTGGTTATGATCAATTTGTTTCTTGTATCATAATGACTACACATAAAAACTGCATGTCCAAAGGTTTAATGAGACCAATTATTGCTCTAGGAAAAATAATTACTTAATTTTAAAAAGTAACAGAAAAACATATAAGATAAATAATTATTTAAATAAATTTTAATAAAACTCGTAGTAACAGAAAAACATATAAGATAAATATTCAAATGTTTTCTTATAAATAACTCATAGAGTATATTAAATATTAATTTATATATCTATAATAATGTCATACATGTATCGTTCATAAAACGAAATTAAATAAAAATTGAAATATGATTTGTATATTTTCCGAATGTCCAGCTAGTTGCCAAATTGCAGATCCACTACAATTTTTAATTGGGCCTTGTATCAAATTGATAACCAGATATAAACGGGCCGTTCCCGCACGTAGCCCATAGTCCGTGAGTGAACTTGTCCAATTCGTAATAGTTTCAGGGGTCAGAAACAGCTTGAAGCCCATAATCCATACACCCCCCAAAATCTTCAACCCCCATTTCTGAACCTTCCTGAAACGTGGTGATTGGGGACTCACTCGCGGGCGTTGGCGGCGGGGATTAGCGACGTGGTCACAGCCAATTTCGTTATCCGAGCTCAAAATTTCGCCAGCTCTGCTTCAGAAACCCTAAAATAATTTGGTAATTTTTCTTTGCGGACCAGTTTACAGAGAAAAAGGGGCGATGAAGTCTCCGAGATGGGGTTATTTTAGGATTATTACAGGAACAATCCTTGGAGGGATGCTCGGGTTCTACTTTATGCACCGAGCTGAGCTCAAGTACAAGGTTTGTAGCTTTGATATACATGTACCAATTCTGGTTTTATCTGATCTGCGTGAAAAAAAAAAAAGAATCCTTTTTTTTATTTTTTGTTTTTCGCAGGAGATGTGGGATGAGAGGTTGAGGAAGTACGAGGAGGAAATGAACAAGAAGAAGGTGCAAGAGGCTGAGTCCAATGAGATTCATGACTCGCTCTAATATTTGTTCGTCTCTTTTGACTAGTTCTATCGTTTTTTTTTTCCTCTTATGTGAGAAATATAGGAAATTTCATGTCGTGTCTGTTTCATGAGAGTTGACAAATAACTTTGTGTAGCTGTTGTCGAGTATCGAAAGATCAAGAATCAGTTCTATTGTGGAATATGTAGAACTGATGCTAAAAAAAATTCCATTATTCGATGTATTCATGCTTTTTTGGCCCTTTTGCTCCCATGGTTTCCCTTTCTGTACTGTGTGTGTACATGGATAATTCTTGTTACAGTATCGAAACTTCTCCCTTGGATGAATGGAAAAGTGTTGGTACATTGAAAAAAAAATAAAAAATCCAATCTTTAGATCTTGCATAATTGAAAGATCTGTTTTTTTTTTTAGATTTTTTTGGCTGTGTACCGCACTAGTTCTTGTGATGACATGGTCATGCAGCATGGATAGCTTCACTTACTGAGTCCTTGCCATTTCGGGGGGCCAGCCACCATGAGGTAACTAGGAAACAGATATTGTTTGTTCCTCCTATTATGATTAACCTATTGGTATTGATGCTTTACAAAAAGTGACAAAGATTTTCCCATTTTACTGGTTCGATTGGTAATTCTTTTAGGATTCTGTTGATCTAATTTGAAAACTTGTTTGGTTAGGGTTCGACTATCGTAAGTGGGTGCAGTAGGTCTTGTGTGAGGCAGTTTATGAACATAGATAAGTAGAAAAAGCATAGAAAATATAGTGATTGGTCCATAAATACTACATACAACTGTGTTTAGGATATCTCAAACAAGTTTATCAAGGCCAAACAGAGACTGCAAGCAACATAATATAAGCAAAGCAAAAGCACAATACATGATCTAAACCAAGATTCTAACACCAAACTGAGAGCCTACATACTAATCGAGACAGCAATTACAGCCACACAACAGAAAACAACTTGTGGGCCCACAAAGAAAGATCGTGCTGCCGAATACGGAGATGTTGCAGGGGATACATCTCGATAATCAGAGTGCAGGGCCATCACTTCCACCATTAGCCGCTGCCCGTTTTTGCAGTGATTTGGGTCGGAACTGATGAAATAAACCGGGCCAGGCCGCTTAAGCTCGATAACCGTGTTCCCGTTCTTGAAAACTGTCACGGCATGGCTCGAGTTACAGTGGTAATATCCCCACTTGTCGACAACTGCCACCGTGTCGTTTTTGTACTTGAAATCTGTTTTTTTTTTTTTTGCAGGAAAATTTCAACCATATGAAGACCAAGAAAAGGTTTAAAGTTTAAGAGCATGCAAGTAAGTAAATTGATTTTTGAATTTTTTTAACTCACGAAGAGAATCTCCGACGTGGAATCTCAGGGTGGCGGCCCAGCGGGCGTACGTGTCGTTGGCGGCTGGCGGCCGCCAGCTGTCCTCGCCGCCGACTTCGAACTGTTCGGCCACAGAGCTTGTCATGAAGAGTGTGAAGAGAGTGAGAGATGCATAACAGAAGGTTACTAAGATGTTAGCCATTTTCGTGAGTTTTGGGTTTGGTTTGTACTTTTGCAGTTGATTATTTTTAGTGCATGTATGGGATGTTAGGGGTTTTTTTTGGTTGTTTTTTCAAAAATTCAAAGTAACTTGCAGTTGACGTGGTGAAAACTGAATATGGCGGTTATTGGTAGTTGAGGGTCGTGGGGAGAATCTGCATTTGACTTAGGTCCGGCCCAAGAGACTTTTGCTGTTTATGGATTGGGATTTTAGTTCGGCCCAATATGATAGTCCAATCTGTTATGGGGGAGAATCGTACTGGCCAGGCCCAGCGAANCGAATTTATGATCGGTAGATTATGTGCATAGAATAAAATAATATAGAATAAAATACAGAATATTAAACTAAAAATGGAAAAAAAAATTAATTAAATAAATAAATATTAATATGAGGGACTAAATGTCAGAAGGAAATGAGGTATGATTTATGAGTGGTAGTGGTGGAGACAGAATAATTGCAATAAGTTAGCAAATAACATGCAAAGATCCCAAGACATGGACACGGTGCCATCCCTTTAGCATTCTTTGGAAAATAATATATAAATAAATATATTATCCAAATTAATAATTTATTGCAAATTTGTTTTTGTATACAACAGTTCATGCAGCTCACATAACTGCATGTGCTTTTCACTTCACTCCACATGCAGAATCTCTCTATAAATAGCCAACACAGTACATTAATACATTTTTATATGTTATCCATTAATTAATGCATTCATAAATTTTGAAGTTTTCATTGTCTACACCTGTTTTTGAGGTAACTTTGGATAAACTGTTACTATGAATTAATTTGATTATTTTGAATTAACTAAAGTAACATACATGAAAATCAAGTTCAGTAAATTATTGAATTTTCATTGTATAACTAGTATTCGACTCTGTGCATTTTCACAGATGTAAATAAAATTAAATATTATAAGTTATATTTATGTATATAATATAAAAATTATAAGTTTTATAATTGTATTATATTTCAAACATATAGTATTATAAGTTATATTTATGTATATAAAATTAAAATTATAAATTATATAATAGTATTATATTTTAAAATTTGATCATTGGTTAAAATAAATAGTACACACGATTTGATTGTATACGAATCACTATATTGATTGCATAAAATGTAATAAATATATATTTTTTATAATTTTGAGTGATCATGATTATTTAATTAGCTGAAAAATATTACATTTATTATAACAATTGCTTATGTGATTTTAAGAAATTTTACTATGACATAAAAAAAATTAATTTATTAATAAACAACAGCTTCATCATGTAAAAAAATATTGATTTTAGTGTAAAATATAATTTTGTGTAACTTTCATATATTATTTAGTATAAAATATAATTACTAATTTTAATATTAACTATTATATTATTCAATAAAAAATATAATTTTTAGTCAATTAACATAAAAATATAATGGTTTTTGTCTTAATTAACTCAAAAAAAATGTAATGAAACATTTTCTTATTAATGAGATTGGGTGTATTAATGCACATAAATAAAATTTATTAGGTTTTATTAATGATTTGCCACATAGGTAAAATTTATTAGGTTTTATTTATTAGGTAAAATTTATTGTTTAGCTAGCAATTATATATATATAGATAACCTATCCAATCAAACTCAATGTTGGTGTAAAGATGTTCAATATCAATTTTTCTTCTCTGCCATAATTGATTCATTCTTTGGGAAATTTTATGGATGCATACATTGTACTTGCAAGTACAATTTCATTTAAAATGGATTTTTGCATGTTGCATTGAAAAAGATGGGTCAAGTTGAGGTGGATTGAGGCCATAGTGTTGCATGTTTGTATATATGTGTGTGTCACATATGAAATTTTTACTGTTTGGAACACATTTTCATAGGCAAAATTTCAAAATTGGTCCTATAAGTTGGTCACTGTCAAAAAATTCACCCTTACATTGACCAATTTCAAACTAGGTCCAATAATATGACAATTTAATCAAATTAAAATGTTGACATGGCGTGTACTTCATCTTATTTGGAATTAAATAAATTTTTAAACTGCAAATTAGTCCATAGAATTTATCAAATTTTAAAAAACAATCCCCTGCAATCTCATAATTTTTAAAACTGAGCCTCAACCGTCCGCCGGCGTCGTTCGCCGGACGCCGTTCATCAGCCGCCTCTGATCGATATTTTTTTTACATCATCTTGAAGCTCACATCATTCTCGTTCACCTCCTAAAGTTTCCGGCGAAAAATTCCACCAATAAGGCTGTCAATTTTTCGGTCAAAATTTCTAGATCTAAATTTTTTTTTGGTCAAAATCCGGCTTTCTTCTTCAATATTCCGGCGATTCACATCGACTCATCAAAATCCGTGGACAAATACGAACTCCGGGGGCCGCTGCATACCAAACAACGTCTACCATCTCTGAAATAGAAAATTTTTTCCGGCAATCCATTTTTCCGGCATGTAGTAAAGCTTGGACCTTTTTCAATACGCACACAACATCAACAGAACCAAGAATTACGCTGAACAAGTTTCCAATTCAACAATAAAAATTAGCTGACAAAATCCCCCTCCAAATTAAAAATCACAAGCGTCTACCTCATAAAACAAAAGAGTCATTTAGCTCCACCAATCCGACGGAGGATATAAAACCTTATTTCAGGTGTATCTCCATAAGGCCATTCCGATGGTACTTCAGAAAACAAAAGACGTACAACAGTAGAAATGTGTTAAAAAAAAATAAAAAATAAATAAAAAACCCCTCTTCTAAACAAGCGAGGGATGTCGAGTTCGGAGTTACATCGAGATTCAACNATCTATATGTTATTCCCATTTGGTAGTGAGGATGTCCTACATCATGTTGAAAAATAATAAATGGATCTGACTGGGTGACACGTGGGCGCAACGTAACGTTTTTATTCCGAGGTGGGATAAAAAAAGACCAAATTTGATTAAATTGTCAAATTATTGAACCCAGTTTGAAAGTAGTCAATGTAGAGGTGTGTTTTTTGACAACGGTCAACTTATAGGACCTATTTTAAAATTTTGTCATTTTTCATATTTTATCAAAAAAAGGCTCTATACAATGAAACTCATTGATGTGATTACTGATTATTGCTTCACAGTTCACTATTGTGTATTCCTTATGCAATACTTCTATTTATATATTTATTCAAGGCTTTACCATATTGCAATGGTTTCTTTTTCTTCTTCAGTTCTTAATGAGTTGAGGGAAAATTAGCAACTATGTAATTAATTTTGTTATCCGAACGTTCATCATCAAACAAAACATGCAATATAATATAAATTAGGTCAGAGCTATTTTGAAAGTTAATTTGATGAAGCTGACACTGAAAAAAATTATAATATTCCAATCGAAAAATATTTCAACAGTATTTTCAAATGATATATGCAAGATCAACATTATAATATTTCATTTAATTAAATTATTTAATATCCTAATTATAATTTGATAGTTACACTAATTATTCCAATAATTTATTTTTGCAGGAATTTCTATTATATTATATCGTTCACATTGACATTGTTTTTTCCACAAATAGTTCCAACTATTAGAAAAAATAAAAGAAAGAAATTGTTAAAACATATTATTGTTGAGTAGTTGATTTATTAAATTGATATCTATATATATTTAAAAAAGTTGATGTTAAATTCATTTTTGGAAAGTTGAAAAAAACAAGTCAAAGCTTTTGACTTACCTATTATGAAAATACAATTCAAATTTTAAATTCTCATTAGCTATACAAATCATGCGTGGACATAGCGTTTGGAAAATCTCTATATATATAATAAGAATTACCATTTACCAAAAATAGTAGCCAAAAAATTGGTCAGAATTTAATGCAGTCTATAAATAGTAAGTTTTATTATTTTTCTTATTTTTTCTTAAAAAATTATACAATATTAAACGCTACCTTAAATTTCGGGCTTTAGTTCATTTTATTATTTAAAAAATTCGGCTGATTTATTAATTGTGTATTTTTTAATTTTATTTTTTTCTTAGAAATAACGAACAACATTAAAATCTCGGTCTTTATATTTATAAAATCTCAATTCAAAATATAACAAAGGTTTTAAAATCTCGGTTTTTATATTTGTGCTTTTAAAAAAAAATATTGAACGCTAAAATTATTCTTTAAATTACATAATCAATCAATTAATCTTAATTTTTTTAAAAATTACTATGTTTATTTTTTATTAATATGCATAAAGTAAAAATAATTAATTCATCTTTAGATATATAATTTATAATCTCAAAATACTATCATTTGGTGTAGACATTTATTATATGAATCATAAAATATTTTTATTTCATAAAATTAAATATATTTAAAGAAAATAAGAAAATTTCTTCGGATCAATCGGGTGATTGAATTGGGGTACTGCAAAGGTTGATTGAATTGCTTTTAGGCGATATTTAAAATAGTAAAAAACTTGATACAACTTGGTTGGTGTCAGGTGGCTAAGTTATGTATCAGTTCGATCACACCAAATCGATTATTGAACCTAAATATAAATTTTATATTGAAAATATTTTATTACATGAATGTGATGTAGTCCAAACTTCAAATAATCGTATTAACAATACTTTTACGACAACATGTTTAATGATTTATAAATATTTATATATCATTTTATTAATATTTATGTGAATTAATTAGTATTTTATTATAATATTTATTAATGTACAATAAATATAAAGTTTTCAGAACCGGACCGTCATCGAAACGATCAAGCTATTTTATTAAATCATTTGTGGTTTGTTTAGATTTTAATTTATAAACATTTGAATATATATATATATATATATATAGTACTTTTTGTAATAAATTTAATTAAAATGCGTTACTTAGATATTTAAACAATTTATAAATTCAAATGTTTAACCCAATTGATAAATAATTTATAAATCTCTATTTTATTTAAAATAATTTTAAATATAAAAAAATTTATTAGAAAATCGTATCGATCCTACCAGTCCAACCGACTAGTGTTGACGGATTCGAAAGCAAATATTTTATTGAAGCGAACTATACTGGTTATAAACCGGTTCTAGGTCCATCCGGTCGGACTGTGTCCAACCCGGTTTAATTTAAGAACAATGGATAAATCATGATTAATGTTATTTATATATTTAATTTTTAATACAATCGTAATATTGTTTTCCCGTGCATCGCACGGGCCACGCACTAGTTTGTACATAAAATGCTTTCAATAGTTGTACATGCGGTTGAAATTTTTAATGCCGTTTTTCACAGGACAACA